AATTAGAGCTAGGAAAAGCTGGGAATAATAGGATGTAATGCATTGGGCTCGTATCAGCATGCTCATCAGGATTCTTGTGTCTTGGCTTAAAAGCTTTGCCCCATGAATTCACTTAGGGAATAAAGACTGGCTCTTGTTGAACAAATTAGGGAACACAAAGTTATGGAGGATGCCCCTGATTAAAAGGTATGATGCCCCGATGTGGTAACCACATCTGACGTTGGTTAACAAAAACAAAGCACTGATATAAGATCCTATGGTAAAAGGGAACCATCTGCTGATAAGATGTTCCAAGAACTTAGGATTGCGTAGCACTCCATGGTTAGAAGTAATTCCCAAAAGATGAGGAGAAGAGAGAACCTGCTGTGACAGTAGGTGCAAGATTGTTGACATTGTCATCAGAGCTTTCATGACCTGGCTCAACTGGGTTTTCAGTCAATTATCTTCCTGCTTGAAGGGATTTCTGACCATGGGCCAAATCTTGCATGTATACCACACAGAGTTGTTCCATAACTGATCTCTGAACACATAATAGTAAGAATCAAGTTGAACCTCTGAAGAAAACACATGGTCTGAGCAAGAATCCCCAATCTTCGAGTACCTGTTATGGATGCATGAATATACATGGTATGTATTAATGGATGCCATGTCATGTTCCGTCATTTCTAAGGAATTTACGTGCTTTGATTTTGATTTTACGTAAGTAAAAGATGGAAAAGTTTGGCACTAGGCTTGCAAATATGATTCCTTGGAAATAACAGAACATGTATGTTAAGCATCTGGTTAACCATGTTATGTATGCAAAGGCATGAGATCAAATGGGATCAAGGTTCCATCATTTTTGAATATGATTGTTGCACTGCTTCTGAATCATACGAGTATTGTCAAGTCAAAGGTTTGGCATAACTTCCGCACATATAAGAACCAAGTACCATGTAAATCTCCCATTGTACGGGGTCAAGGCTTCTGGAACATCGAATATTGTTGAGCATTTTCTGAATATGCTAGGAATGCCAAGATCAAAGGCATGAATGAATCTCCAGGTAAGCAAGTCAGGAATCTCAAAAAATAAATCTGAGAACCATACAGTCACCAACAGAATACCATATGCATAAGTCACTGACAGAAATCCAGAACATGATAATTAGAATCAATAATCACCATCTGAGCATAGCCTCCATCTGGGCATGAGTAACCATCTGAACATAGTCACCATCTGTACCTGTAATAAGAATTCCCTCCCTGCTCACGGGTGAATACTAGGTCAGGGTACGACAATGGTAACTCGATAATCACGGGTCCGCCTGAAAGTGCTATGGGCTTTCCCACAGACGTGGGTGCCGATAGTAATTCATTTGAACCTCATCCGAGCGTGGTATATGACATGAATGCACTAATCAGACCACGTCCTATAGCCGTCATGCCCCCACTCTATTCCTAGTGTCCTAGTGCACTCTGGCCTGGGTACTGGGCCTTTTACCTCAATAATAATATCCCCACCCAACATGGAAAACCAGAATCCAGCACAGCATAAAACCAATATGGAAAGCGATAAAACGCAATGCAAACATGTGCTCAGATAAACATGTACAAATGAATAAACTAAAAGCATAAAAATAAACACCCAAAGAAAAGAAAACAAGAGCTAGGAGCGACTCCGGGATGGACTAGCATTTGGTCGACCTATCCCCAGTGAAGTCGCCAGCTGAAACAACTGGCTGAAAATCATCAAACAATGAAGTCGCCATCGAACGTCTTTTATCCCACAGGAGGGAAAGGTAAATGTCGAGTAAACCTGAGAAGGGTGAAATCAAGGTCGAACGACCAAGAGATAAGGGTAAGGGAGTCTGTTACGCGAGGGGAAGGTATTAGCACCCCACACGCCTGTAGTACTCTATAGTATCCACTTTTGTTATCTATCTTATGGGTGTGTACAATCTATGCTTACTGTTTATTACTACTGAAGGGAAAATGCATGCAAAAGAAAGGGGAAAAGATGTAGGGAAAATAAAAGTTGTGCTCGTTCATGCCCTACCCCGATACCTATGTATCCCTTTTAAGGAATCAGAGCAGCCGTAGTTTGGCTCATATGTTTTTGTTGGTTTGTATTTTTTAATGAACAATATTAATTTCGCCTTCTGCCGCAACTCGACCTTTGGAGACTTACGAATCAGCACAAAAGTGAATTAACATATTCTTTCTGAAAAGGTTTGGAGAAAATGTTCCTGGGCGCACAAAAAGGTTTGAATTTGTTTGTGTTTGTAGTGAACGATATTAATTTCCCATTCTGCCGCAACTCGACCTTCAGAGACTTACGCGTCAGCACATAAGTGAATTAATTTGTTCTTTTGAAAAGGTTTTGAAAGAAAGGGCCCGAAGGCAAACATAATTTTGTGTTGGTTGGTGTTTTTTGCTTGTAGATAATAGATAGTTAATCTCAAGAGAGAGATTTAAGTCATTTCTCCACTTATTCATGAAATGATTCTTTGAGACTTGAACCATGCCGAGGCTTAGAATAAGAGAACAATAAGGTCAAGAAGAAACCCGCTTATCATCTCCCAAACTTAGCAAAGACATGATTCTTGTCAGCAAATTTTTATGTATTTTTTAAGTTTGTAAAAAGGGGAAGTTTTTGTTTTAAATGCATATGCAAAAAGAGAAAGAAAAGTCAAATGGAGACTAGCCTATTTCTAAACCCAATTTTATCATGCGTTGTTATACCTAAGTCAAGGATGAATGAAAGGGAAACGTCTACCTAATGTTAGCATGCATATGGATGGCGGTAAAGCCCGGTTTCTCATGATTTCTAGAAAAGCAGTAAAGAAACGTGATAAAGTGCAGAAATGAAGAACAAAATAGAGTTGTGACGATACTGAACGGAGGAGGTCCGTTGCCTCTTTAAAGCCACACAAGCGATAAGAGAACTCTACAGAAGTTGCTCCGTATGAGTAATCAAGAATTGATCTCTAAATATTCCCAATTGCGAAGAGATTTCATCAATGTAATATCACAAAATCCTAGCTAACAGAGAAGGTCCGTTGCCTCTTAGAAACCATGCAAGCAAAGAGAAAACTCTACATAAGCTACTTCACAAGTGATCACACGAGTTAATCTCCAAGCATTCCTCAGCATAAAAGTTGCCTCAAAATTCTATCACAAAATCTCCTCAGCACAAAAGTTGCATCAACATTCTATCACAAAATCTTAACTAAAAGTGACAACGAAAATGATTATCAAACATGAAAATAATAGAAAACTCTAATGAAAATTCTAAAGAGAGATCCTAAAGAATTATAAAATGTTATAATATTTTTGTATCATTTTTATTATCAATTAAGAGGAAAAAAATTAAACTAGAAGAAAAAACTAAAATCTTAACGAGATTAGAAAAGTCAGGGGGTACAAAGTTGGATGAGTCACTATGGCTAGCAAATGAGACCTTGGTGTAAGGCCCGCTGAATGAAGCCTAAGTAGTTCAGTTTTTGGCAAGGCAGATGCTTTAAAAAAAAATCCCAACCCAATCCAACAATCAATTCTCCATATTCAACATTCTAAAACGATATCATATTGGATATGTTTAGGGTTCAAAATCATATGTTTTTTCGGTTTCTTTTGGAACTCGACTCTCTTTCTCTTTGATACAAAATGCGGCGCCTACCATCTCAAACTCGCCGCTCTTCATCTTCTTCAATCACAGAACTCACGGCGGACTTCGTGCTCTCCCACTCAACTTCATTTTCATCCCTTGACGGTATTACAATAGAACGGCGGTATCATCGTACAAACCTCCATGAAACAACACAAAACTTATACGAAACTCCCTCTGAATCAAATATTACACACGAATCCGACCTCAAATTCTTCCCATTTTTCTTTACATAGGAATCAAAGAATTGGGGGTTGCAAACCCTAACCTTGATTATGACAACGACGACGAAGATCACATTTTCCAACGAATGTGAACTTCAGGTAGGATGCGTCCTTATTCTTTTCTTCATTTCTCTGCTTCTGTTTCTTGTGTTGCGAATTTGTGGTTCTTGCATGATTCTGTTGTGTTTCAGTGATGACACTGCAGAACCAGTGTGATGTTAATAAGAATACACTGAAGATCTGATTGAAATTGTTGTGTGTAGACAGTTGGTTCGGATTGGAGTTTTTGAAGATCGAAGATGAAAAATGGTGAATCGATGAGGTTCTTGCAGTGTTGTTGAGGGTGTGAGCGTGAGTTCATAGTGAAATAGGAATAAGGAATGAAGGCTCCAGGTAACTTGGGGGAGGATGAAGATGGCGAGGTTGCAGAGGCTCGGAGTGTTAAGGTTCAGTGGTGAGGATGAAGGTTGTTAGAAGGTGATGAAGGTGGTGAAGATGGAGAATGGTACGTGGAAGATGAAGTAGAATGAGGGTGAAGAAAAAGCTTTTAAATTTTTCTGTTGGTGATTTTTCAGCCAGATCGAAGAAAAAAAATGAGATTCAAGGTGAGTTTCTGAATCCTTCTCTGTGAATTTTTTTGTTAAGTGAATAATCGTATCTCACTAAATGAATCCCCCTGCCATCTGTTATGGACCTTTCTTTTATATCCTTTTTGTTGTTTTGTTATGTAGTTTTTTCTGTCGAGTTTGTTATGGATTAGTTGGGAATTCTGTTATGCTTTATGTTACAAATTTGTTAGCTGTTAGTTTTGGTTGATGTTAGTTAGAAAGTTAGTTATAGGTTCTGTTATATGGAGATTGATGAGAGTTGGTAAAACACTTGTAAATTTTGTTAGCAGTTATGGAATTCTGTTTGGGATATTCATGAGTTGGAAGGCAGTTTCTGTTTGGTTTATGAGTTTATTAAATTCTGGTATAGTTAGTTAGAAAATTCTATTATTTTTCTGTCATAAGTTTGTTAAGATCGTGAAAGTTAGTTACAGACTTGAATGGTGAGATTGATTCAGTTGAGAAACAGCTTGAGGAGCTTGAAATCTGTTATTCTGACCTGTCATTTTTCTGGCTTCTTTTTTACTTTGATACTCTATTCCTCTGCATATGTTGTTGTTTTACTTTTCTGGGCTTGTAACATTTGCTGCAGATTGCTGTGCCATTAACAAATATGGTTTCACTATGAGAGAAATAGAGTTGCGGTATGGAACTTGGAAGTTTACTCAACTTATCATACAGAACTATCAGAGTTCCATCTGAATTAGAATCCTCAAGTGGAGGTAATGAAATACGCAGTCCAATATGACCCAATGCTTGCATTGCAACAATAGCAAGAGTAGAAGTTTCAGAATTAACCACATCAACTAGGCACCTAAGTGTTTTCCGGAGAAACATTTATGGCATAGGTGCTCTAGACAAATAATCTGCAGTAACATATCCTATTGCACAATACGCACCGTGCTGAGTCTCAAATCTCGACTTTGAAGAGGCATAACATGGAGCAACTCAAGGGAATTGACGTGAATTTGGGAAAAATAGGTTTAGGATAGATTTTGTTATGGCTTTATGCTGACCTGTTATTAGAATATTTGCAGGTTCAGTGCATCTTTGGTTATTGACATGGTATTTGGCAATGTAGCATACAAAATGATCATGATGGCAAAATGATAAAGATGGAATTTAGTTATAGGAAGTAACTCTGTATTTTTTTGTGTATTTTGCTCAATGATGTAATGTAAGATGGTGTAGTGAGTTGTAATCTGGTATTGAATTTTTGTAATAGAACTTGCAATGTGACTTGAAGGAAGTGAAATTATAATAGACTAGTGCTTTGGAAATGTAATGTTCTCTTTCTCAAACATAGATTTGAATTTTTCCCTTCATTTGCTTTTATTTGAATGAATCTTCAAGCATCTAATATTTTCTCCAATTTTCAATCTTGAACCTTGCTTTCATATTGTTGTATTTTATTCGGATTCTTCAATATTTCTTGGATGAGTTTTGTGATACTTAGTATCTTGGAGATGAAATATGACTTGAATCTTTCTTTCCCTCCAAAATCTTCTTTTAACCTTTCAAATTTAGCTTCAAATTGCATCCTTTAATACAAAACATCATGAGATCGGATACTCTTAGTCAATCAAAGGAACTCAAGTAAGATATCGTCAAAACCTTGGATGCTATTATGACCCAATACACCATGTTCACCTCAAAGTCTTGTGCGGGAACCAAAGAGATAACTTGTATGGCCTAAGAGATGTAACATCTTGATCCTCAAGCATCATAGCTAAATGAAAGAATTTATTTGAATCAATGATAAACAAATATTAAACGGTAAAGTGGGCACCAGTATATCCAGATTTGTCTTCTGTATGAAGTTTCCGATCACCTAGCTTGTGACTTAAATAATAAGTTCACCCTTTCGATTTACAGAGAAAGGTCGAAAGAAAACCCTAGCTAGTCATTGATGAAGAACCTTTGAATATTAGCCCCTGCCAAATTCATCCTACAAACCCAAGTGTTGTACCCCAAAATTTTCCCTCTCATATTTCTCAAGACATTGCAAGAATAATCTCCAAGTTGCTCGAGATTGCTTAAGAGTTGGACAGTCAAGCTATCTCCTAAGGCAGTCAACCTCAAATTAGGGTTTTGTGTTGCATCAAGGTCCTTGCATCCAAATTACCTCAAGTGTTCCCCAATGTCCTAATATGTTCTCAAGTTCATCCATGTCAAAATTCAAGCCTTGTAGAGAAAGTTTGGTCAGTCAATTGCTCAAAGGGTCCAAAAATTGACTGTACTAGGGCAAAAGTCAATTGTGACCAAAATACAGTCAAACTTCAAGATTTTTTGTCAACATTATCATTTTGAAGGATATTTCATCATTTGATCAAGGGTTGATCATGATTTATCAAGGATTGCTCAAAATTCATCAAGACTCAAAAGTTGCTAAATTAGGGTTTTGTAGGAAAAGTCAACTCAACTTTGACCAAGCATAACTTTCTCATACTTTATGAGAAATGACCCATCCAAAGCTCATTTTGATGCAATTTCCTACAATACATATTCATACCCCAAGATCAATAAATGCACTCACAAAAAGTTACAAAATTGGACATTATAGGTCATTTTTGAAAGTCAACAAAAACACCTTTTTTGCCAAAGCTTATAATTTGAGCATGGAATATCAAAATGAGATGAGACCAAAATGGTTGGTTAGAGGACATCTCAAGATTTCCAAAAAGTCCAAGAACACTTCCAAAAGTTCAAAATTGAAGAAGTTATGCATTGTTGAAGTTGGGCATTTTTGTAAAATTGCCAAAAGTCAACTATCCCCAAAACTTCAAATTTTGTCAAATGGGCCCATTAGTTTCCACTTGATTTGGTCTTGTCATACTACACACGTGTCCTAGCTTCATCCTTGTGTCCATTTATTAGTTTTTCTATTTTATTTGATTTTTTATTGAATTAATTCATTTTAAATCAATTTAAATCAAATAAAATCCAAATATTGATGACTTAGGATCTTTTTGATTGTTATAGGTCTTAATTATCATCATGGACATGATCAAATCCGTATCAAGCTTTTCATGTACAAAAATATTGGATTTTGGACAAGTTTGGAAATTTATCAATGGAGGATCAAATCAAATTCTAAAACATCAATGCATAAAGATTCAAGTCCAAATTGTTGACCTAATCTAATGCTGCATACATATACAACACAAAGGCACACGAATTAGAGGTTAGAAGCTGCAGAATCACCAAAACAAAACTTGAGAAAACTTGAAAAAAAGCTTGAAACTGAAATCCTTCTTAGAGGCCAATTCAGAACCAAAACTCAACGTGAATCAATTGTTGGGCAATCACTGAGTGAGAAGCAATCAAAATCAAGCTCTTTCATCCTCTCAAATGCACTGTAAGTGATGCGCGACCTCCCTCTGAACTTGCTTTCGTGTTTCAAAATTTACGCATCATTACAAGAAACTAATGGTATATTTGCAATCACCAAACAATTTCCATGCTTTCCGTATTATTTGATTGTATTTATCTGTTCTATAATCCAAAACGCCATTGAAGGGTTCTTTAGGTTTTTTTTAGGGTTTTCCATTACAGGGACAATTGGCTTGTGAGAAAGGTACCATCTTGTTCAGGGGAACAAGACGAGTTCATCAATGGTATCACCTTCCATTTATATGGCCTGAGATGGATTTTTGAATCAACCCATGCCTTTTGTTGCGGATTTAAATCCGCAGGTAACTTCTGTATAAATCTGAGGACAGGGACGACAACGTGTCCCCATCCGGTTGCTCCATTCAAATTTTCGTGCTTTATTTTTTATTTCTGGCATAATTACACTTTTTCATATATTATAATTAGTTTGTATTTAACTAACAAATGAAGTGCAGTGGTTGAGTGGCGAAGGTGTTAGTGCATGGTCCAACAGGACCTGGGTTCGAGTCCCATGTCCCCATATCGCATTATTATTGTTTTTCTTCAGGTTATTCCATGCAAAGCCAGGCGTTTGATTTACCATGAACCCTCATGCAATCAGTGGACAGATGGCCCCCAGGCCAAATCTGATGGCCCAGATGGGATGCCCACCATATGCCAAAGTCAATATGCACACGTGGAAGCAAGAAAGGTCAACGCAGGCCAATTCGTTTGGGCCATCCAATTGCTAATCTCACCTCCAATTTGGGCCCAAAACCCCCTGAATATTTCTATTTCTTTATTTTTATTTATTGTTTATTATTATTATTTTATTATTCAATTAACCAATCAAACTTTTTCTTTATAAAATCAAAAACCAAAAAATATATTTTATTTATTAAAATTAAAGTCAGCACTTTATTTTTGTAAATAAATATTAATTTAATTAATTTAGTCTAATTAGGAATGGCTTTAATTTCTTTTTTGCAATAATTACAATTAACGTAGATAATTAGGTTTTTACTAACTTTGATCAAATTTATTTTATTTCTTTAAATATCAAAAAAATCTAAAAATATTTTTATTAATTAATTTATTCATTAATTCAATAATTAGTTTAGTTTAATTTTCTTTTAATTCAAAAATAACAAAAAAATTCTTTCTTTAATAATTAAAGGGTCAAAACCCTAGAACCCGCCCGGTTTAATTTCCCGCACGCGTTCCATTTTTATTCAATATTGTATCTGTTTCCAGGAATGTAATAGTTTAATAGGACTTTAAATATTTTATCGCTTTATTTATTTTCTGTATTTTAATTTCAAGGGTTGCTTTTGGCGATGTAAATACCTGACGCCTTGTAATAGTTAGTTTTAATTTCCGCAATTTAATTTCCGCAACTTATAAATTGTTAGATGTTTGATAATAGGGAATGCATGATAAGATCAAATGTTTGAACCTAAAATCAACATAGATAACCATTGACATGTACAAAGATAAAATTAACCGAAATAACACACTCGCACATGCGCACTCTTAGGGTACACCTCACTTGGTTGCCTTCGAACGTGGTAATTGAGTATAGGAAGTTTTAGAGGTCGTCCTCTTGTCCAAAGATCATAGTTGCCTCGAAACGGTTGCCTCGAAAAAATGATCTAAGACATTAGGGTTACCACTAAGGCGTCCTAACATTGCTTTAGTGACCATACGTCCCTTAATCGAATTGACCCTTAAAACTCCAACGACGAGGCTACCTACTCATTCATAGTGGGATAGCCCTGTCTAAAGGACATTAGCACATATTGATTCCTTTTTCGAGTAGGTAGATGGTTCTTAAGTATTTGCTCTTTCAAAACAAAATAAAACTTTTCGCACTTACACCTTTCAAACAAAAAACTTCTTTCAAACCCACAAACACAAAGAAAAGCAAATTTTGAAAACACTTTGAGCAAGTACCTAAGAGCCCGTGGATAACCACGGATAGAAAGGGTGCTAACACCTTCCCTTTCTATAATCTACCCCCCGGACCCGAGAAACATCTCGAAAAAGGAATTTTTCTGTGCTTTTTTCCTTTCCTTGTTGGATAAAATAAAAGACGGTGGCGACTCTTGCTTACCGCGACATTTTGTAAAAACAAACGCAAAACGCAAACCAGCATTCCAAAAAAACAGTCAGTTCTTCCCACCGTATCACACCAAGCATAGGGAAATAAACCCTAATCAAAGGATAACATTGAGCACAAGGAGATAATGGATGCCTGATTTAGTAGCCCTTAGATGACCTCGTAGAACAACTTGGAAATGAACGTGAGGATATAGAAAGAAATATGACCAAGATGCCCACGACTTGATTACGATGAAGAGAACGCCTCAAATGAAAACCAAATCAGATCTGAACACCAAGGATTAGAAACCCTAATTCACACTTGCATCGCTTACCCCCTAGAATCTTGCATCTTAAGGCAAAGT